TTAAGAATGCATTTACTACACCTAATCTACCAAACATTACAGCTTAGCCACACAGTATTCTGTAGAGTATTGGTTGTTTCCCCTTGTGATGTTGTAGCTTATCAGGAGCTTTGGCTCACTGCTGCTGAGTATTTTAAGAGTATTAGCCTGCATACAGTTACCCAGGAAAAGATTAAAATTCAAAACTTAAAGTGTGGTTTCTATTAATGTATACTGCTTTTGCACCATTGTAGAGGTGAAAAATCATAATTTGGGACTGTAGTCATAGCTTCCCTCAAGGAGCATGTAGACTGGTGATGGTGGTGGTAAGACATAAGTAATAACTGACAATTAAAATATAAGGTGACAAGAAAACCATAGTAAGTCAGAGAAGGGTGAAAAATCACAGAGAACTTCCCCCAGAAGCTGCCCAGCTTTTAGGAAAGATCAGAGATGACTTTGCTGAAAGCAGTGAGGCCTGAACTTGTGATAAACAATATTCAAAGAGGGATAGATGGCAGCTATGGTTTCCCATTGTCCATACTGTACACTCTTATATTAAGAAACATTAATTGATCACTTAGCATGGTAGGAATATCCACATATACAACCTTAGTCTCACCATATGTCAAGCTCTGGGCTAGGAGTTTTGCAATACAGTGATGACTGATACAGAGCCCTAGGCTTTTAGCTGCTCACAGTTGAGCTGGGTAAGATGATAATGTGCACATATAAGCCTAGGACAAATTCTAGATCAGAACACACATTGTACACATCTTTCCAAATAAGAGCTATGGTCCAACTGGAGACATCTTAGAAGTCTTCTTGGAAGAAGTGGGACTTGGGCTGAATCCAAAAGAAAGGGAAGAATGTGAGGCAGCAGATATGGAAAGAACAGTTTAGGCAGAGGGAGCTTGAATAGCACCTGGATGCAGGAGTGTGTTTGCAATTGCATGTCAGTAGGTTCCTGGTAAGGAGGCCTGGAAATATCCCTTTGCTTCTTTGGGGACAGAGGAGGGAACTACAAGAATGAAATTTTTGTTAACCAACTCAGTGTCCTGCTCTCCACAATTTGGGGAATTGTTCAGTGGGCTTGAGTCTTTATATGTGTCTATATTATGGTGGTGGTTGTGGGCATGGGAGTGTGCTGGGGTTAATGATGCATTTATCTTGCACAATGTGCTTTTCTACCTGGGAACTGGATCCAAGGGAATAATGGTCTTCTTGTGATGTTTGTTTTGAAAACTATGAGGGTTGCACATGATCAGACCATATGTGTCTCCTGCTCAGAAAGGATGGCCAGTCGTTACTGCTGTCTTAAGTACCAGTCCCTCCTAGGCAGATTTGCTGACTACAATTCTAGGGGCTTTTTATCGCCCTTTCTTCAAGATGCTGCCAGAACTTTGAGCGGATGTTATCAAATCAACGCATTCTCAAGGTGCATTACTCCAAACTTGAAGTGTCAGAAGACTGCCTTTACCTTAACATCCATGCACCAGCTCATGCCAATGTGGGCTCCAATCTCCCTGTAAGGTTACCTGCTGCACTTGGGGCTTGAGCTAGCATGTCTTTGGCTTGGGATCCAGGTGGGGTGGTTGGGTGTCTGCAATCAGACCTAGCCTCTATTGGATAAAGGGGAAATGTAACCACATCAATAACTTGTTTTAAAAAATCATTACAATGGGTGATTCACTTTATCATCTTTCTGATTGACTCTTCATTGGCAGTGACTTGACCTTTGTTTTTTATTTAATTTTGTTTTTCCTCTTTGTTGAATATTGAATGGTCTGTCAACTTTCAGGAAAGATAATGGCTTAACAGGACCTTGATTTCTTTAAAATTTGAGAACTCTTTTAAAGAGGACAATTCTATCCTCCAACTTTGCCATTTATAATTTAAACAGATAATAATGTTAAGTATTTTATCTAAGGATGTAAAAGATCCCTGTAGAAGTGAGTGGGGGCCTGATTCTATGATTTATTTTTTAGTCACACCTCCCCAGTGTCCTCTGTCTCCTGTGCTCTGTTGTATTGTAGGAGCACCATCTATTGAATGCTTACTATGTGTTAGGCACAGGATGTTATACCATTTAACTCCCACAGTGCCCAGTGTATAAGGATGACCAGAGCCATTCTACAGATAAAGAGGCCTGGGGTGTGCACAGCCACTTGCTCCATGTTGTATAAACGGTAGGTACTGGAGTCTGGCACCAAAGCCAATGCTTTGTACAGATCTCTTTTTCCTCCATGGTTTTCTTCTATTTTCCTGTCCTAATGGTTATAGTCTTTAATATGAAATTGAGAGAATGGAATGTACTTATAATTGTTGTCATTTTTACTTAATAGTGCCTGTTTTTAATACACAATAGCGATGTTTGTTTTGGGGAATTTGTATATACACATAACATATCTTGTTCATTTTCAATCTCTTTATCTTCTCCTTTTCCTCTCCTCTATCCCTTTCCTCATCTCCAAGAGTCTACATTCTAATTTCCTATCCTGCCTCCTTTAATTAATTAATTTATATTCTAGGTCTCTCATATAAGAGAAAACACGTGATATTTAACTTTCTGAGCCTAGATTATTTTCTTAGCATAATGGTCTCAAATTCCATCCATTTTCCTGGAAATGACATGATATGATTTCATTCTTATTTAAGGCTGAATAATATCCCATTGTGTATATACATCATATATTGTTTATCCATTCATCTGCTTATGAGTATCTAGGCTGTTTCCAGAGCTATTGTGAATTGTACTACTATAAACATGGGTATGCATGTATCACTATTGTATGATATTTTTAATTCTTTGAAAATATAACCAGGAGAGGTATAGCTGGTTAAAATAGTATTTCTACTTTTAGTTTTTTAAGGCCTTTCCATACTGATTTCCATAATGGTTTTACTAGTTTACACTCCCATCAACAATGTAGAAGTGTTCCTTTTCCCCTGCGTCCTTTCCAGCATCCATTGTTTTTTGTGTTCTTGATGGTAACCACTCTGATTGGAGTAAGATGGAATCACAAAGTTGTTTTGATTTGCATTTCTCTAATGGCTAAAGATGTTCAACATTTTTTCATGTACTTATCAGCCATTTGTATTTCTTTTCAGAAGTGTCTGTTTAGTTCATTTGCCCATTTTTGATTGGGTCATTTGTTTTTAGGCATCTAATTGCTTTGATTCACTATATAGTCTAGATATTAGCATTTTATCAGAAGAATAGCTAGTAAAATTTTTCTCCCATTTTGTAGGCTGTCTCTTCTGTTGATTGTTTCCTTTGCTCTGCAGAACTTTTTAATTTGATGTATTCCTATTCATTGACTTGATATTCTTGTGCTATTGGAGTTCTAGTTAGGAAGTCTTTGTGACTATATCTTCAAATGTGTTTCCTATGTTACCTTCCTGCAATTTCAAAGTTTCTATTTGACATGTAGCTCTTTGATCTCTCTTGATTTGATTTTAGTACTGGATGAGAGCAATCTGATTTCAGTCTTCTGTATGTGCATATCTAGTTTTCCCAGCACCATTTATTAGAAAAGCTGTGTTTTTTCCAACATCTTTTTGGCTCCTTTTTCAAGAATTAGGTAGCTGGATGTGCATAGAGTAGTTTCTGTGTTTTCTATTCTATTGGTCTACATGTCTTCTCTCTCTCTCTCTCTCTCTCTCTCTCTCTCTCTCTCTCTCTCTCTCTGTGCATGCATGTGTGTGCGTGCATGCCCACACCCCATGTGTGTATGTATGTGTGTGTGGTGTTAGTGGAAATTGAACTGAAGCCAGGGCCTTTGCATTGAGCTGTATCTCCACCCCGCTTTAAAAAAAAAAAATTTGGGACAGGGTAAGTTGCTCAGGTTGGGCTCAAATTTGTGTTCCTCCTGCCTCAGCTTTCTACAGTGTGGGATTACTGGCATACAACACATCTGATTTATATGCCTGCTTTCGTTCCAGTAGCATTTTATTTTTGTAGCCTAACTTGAAATCTGGTATTGTGATGCCTCCAATTTTACTCTTTTTACTCAGGATTGCTCTGGCTATTGTGGTTTTTTTCTGATTCCACATGAATTTTAGAATTTTTTTTCTAGTTTTGTGAAGGATGTTTTTGGTATTTTAATAGGGACTGCATTAAAGCTACAGATTTCTTTATTGATAATATTGCCATTTGCATGACATTATTTTTTCTTATCCAAGAACAAGGGATTTTGTTTTCTAACATCTTCTTCAATTTTTCCAGGGTTCTTTAATTTTAATTTTAGAAGTCTTTCACCTCCTTATTAGGTTGACACCTAGGTACTTGGTTTTTTTGAAGCTATTGTGGATGGAAATGTTTTCCTGATTTTTTTTCTTGGTGAGTTCATTATTGGCATACAGGAAAGTTCCTGGTTTTTGTGTGTTGATTTTTTTGTCCTGAGGATTTATCATTCATATATAAATGATGATAATATCATTTGAAGAATGTTTTATGTTTCTGAGTCCTGATTTTTCTAAGTAAGGTTTCCATATGTCATTTTCCCTTTACCGTCTCCTCTCTTCTCTCTGATGGTAGAAATGAGTCTTAAATGCAAACATCTTAAACCACTTTTGCTCTTATTCATGACTCATAATGATTTCCATCTTCCATTATGTCACAGCCCTAATGATATTTAGTTAATGCTTTCTGACTACTTGAGTGAGCCAGCAATGTTTTGTCAGTATCAGATGCAGAATCTTGTTCAGACCTCATGATAACCTCCTAAGTGAGATACTTCAATTCTTCGCAAATTACAAATGAGAAAAAGGCCCTTAGAGAGGTTGAGTAATCTGCTCAAGGTCACAGCTAATCAGTGCAAAAGCTGGGATTCAAACCCATCCATCTAGATGCCTGTTTGCTTAAACTTGAGCCTTTTTCAAAAGACAAAATATTTGATCCTACTTAAAAGGGAAAGTGAGACATATGCATTTCCTTGAAGAAAGAATATTCCAGCATTTGTGGGAAGGTGATGTGGATGCCTGGTGGGCTGACTAGTGTATTCTGCTCCCCTTCACAGGTCATGGTGTGGTTCCCAGGGGGCGGCTTTGAGAATGGCTCAGCCTCCATCTTTGATGGATCTGCCCTAGCTGCCTATGAGGATGTGCTGGTTGTGACCACCCAGTACTGGCTAGGAATGTTTGGCTTCTTCAAGTGAGTATCTCTGAGTGACTGATGCCTCAGACCCTCAGAGGCTGTACAGCAGCTACGGGAAGTGTCCAGAAACCTAAAGAGGAGGGAGCCTTCAGTGACATTGAACAAACATCTCTAATTTTTTAGGTAATTTTAGTAGCTGACAGATTAAATCCCAACTCTAAATGCCTATAAACAATTAAAAATTTCTTTCTCACCTTAGTAAAGTCCAAGTGAATAACCCTGATTGACAGACATCCTTCCACAGGGTCAATCAGGGACCTGGCTCCCTCCATAGGCTCTGATGTGGATTCTCTAGAGCTGCAGACCTGCATTTACCGGCAGATGGCAGAAGAGCAAGGAGGATCAGCCCAGGAAAGATTTCCTGGGTCAGTCTGAAGGTGGTGCTCATCACTCCTGTTCACACCACTGGGCAGAACTCAATCACATCGGCAGATTTTTCTGCAAGGTCACTGTGGGACTACAAAACCTTGTAATCTTAAAATTCTTGTAGCCCTGACTGCAATTAAATGTGAGCTAATGATTAAGAAGCTTGTTAGTTCTGGGAAGCTAGATAAAATTTGTAACAGATATAGTTTTAAAGGTAAATTACTCAACTCCTTGTTTGCCTGGAGATCGGACGTTCCCGGACCCACTATCAGTACGTGACAGTCATGACCATTAGTGTGTGTGTGTCTGCTGACCATCAGTACGTGACAGTCGTGACCATTAGTGTGTGTGCCAACCATCAGTACATGACAGTCGACCACTAACCCTTGTTTCTTTTCTCTTAAAATCTACATGTCAACCTCCCCCTCAACCCCCTATAAAAACAGCCCCAGACTCTGAGCCACTTGCCTCTCTAAGCTACTTTGCTTTGGGAGTGCCATCTGGCCAGACTAATAAAGGTCTGTTTTACTTTCCAACTTGTCGGGTGTGTTCCTTCCTGGGTGTTCGTCGCTGCAGTCAGCTCTTCGGAGCGTTTGGTAAGGCCCTCGGTCTTACATTTTGGAGGCCCCAGCGAGATCCCTGGGCAGGAACCCCGATTCAGCCAAGACTCTGTAGCGAGATCCAGCAGGAGACTCTCAGGCACAGACCTCAGAAAACCTCTGGAGGTAAGTTTTGGTGGCTGGTTGCAACTGTTTGTTAAGTCAGGAGTGAGGTGGCTGACGAGCCGGGGAGTCTCCCCTGACCCCAAGGTTCCTGACGAGGAACAAGGGAAGATTTAGTTTCACTTTTGTTGTGGTGCCTGTTCGTCTTGTCGTTCATTCGTTAGTGTCCTGTCTGTTGTGTGTTTAACCTTGTATTTCTTTCTAAACCATCAAGGGCAGAGATGGGAAGATCCTGCTCCAAGGTTACCCCATTAGACTGTTTTCTTACTAATTTTAAATTGGCTTTTTCCCCTGAACAGGAGGACAAATATGGGGTTAAATTTTCTCATGGAAAACTTCGCTCCCTGTGTCAATTGGAATGGCCAGCTTTTGGAGTTGGATGGCCAGCAGAGGGCTCTTTTGACCCTAGCCTCTGTTGGGCTGTATGGAATAAGGTCACTGGTCACCCTAGTCATCCTGATCAATTTCCTTATATAAATATTTGGGCCCAGGCTTGTCAGGAGCCTCCGGTTTGGTTACAGCGTTGTTCCCTGTGAACAAACACTCACATTCTGGTTATGTCCCCAAGAGAACCCTGAGAGGCCAAAGCCCGGGCTCCCAAGCCAGTGCTCTCACAAGATCCTGACCCCTTAGATCTTGTCATAAGACCTCACCCTATGTGGAGCCATCCTCCTCCTTTGATAAAGCCAGCCCTAAATCGCGAAACCCTTTCTACCCTCCCTTTCCCGAAGAGAAAAAAATCTCCAGATTCTGTAACCTCCCCCTCCCACACGCGAACAGGGACCGCTTATGGTCCCAGTAGGGCTCCCACTGAAGGGACTGGTTCGGTTCCTCTTTTACCTCCGGGAAATAGAACAGGGTCATTATGTCTATATCCCTTTCTCTACCAGTGACTTGTATAATTGGAAACATCAAAATCCCCCTTTTTCAGAAAAACCCCAGGCTTTGATCTCCCTCCTAGAGTCTATTTTTCATACACATGACCCAACCTGGGATGATTGTCAACTTCTCCAAGCCCTTTTCACCTCTGAGGAGAGAGAAAAGATCCAAGAACAAGCCATCAAGTCAGTGTTGGGAGGAACAGAGGGCCCACTTGATGAACAACAACGAGCCCGTATTGAGGTGCAACTTCCTTCCACCCGTTCCCCGTGGCAAGTTAATTCCTCAGGTGGGAGAGAAGCTCTCCAAAACTACCGTCAGCATCTCCTAGCTGGCTTGAGGGGAGCCACTCAAAAGCCTACCAACTTGAACAAGGTAAGCGAGGTCCTTCAAGGGCCTGAGGAATCCCCTTCTGCCTTTCTGGAGTGTCTATTGGAAACATACTGTATGTATACTCCAATTGACCCAGATGCCCCTGCAAACCGACAGACAATTAATTTGACATTTGTTACTCAATCAGCCCCCGGTATTAGAAAAAAATTACAGCAGATGGAAGGATTTGAGAAAAAAAATAGGAAAAAGTTGATGAGTGTGGCGATAAAGGTGTTTAATAATAGGGATCCCTTTGAGGACAAAATGGCTAAAAAGATAAAAAAAGCAAATATTACAGGCTTAACAGATGGAGGTTTCATCCAAAAGGAACACAGAGAAAATAAAAAAAAAAAAGATAAATGCTTCAGATGTAAAAAGGTAATAAAAGAGAGACTAAAACATGGGACAATCTCTTTTAGCCCAAACAGGCCTACAGTGTTGAAATAAATGCTACAAAAGATAGTTAAATGTATAAAACTTAGAGATAAAAAATAACACCCAGACAGCTTAACAACAAAAAAAAGTTCTCTCCCTTGAGATTTTAATTAAAGTTGACAACTTGGAGCCCTGTGCACTCTGTTTTGTGGCCAAACAACTGAGCCTGGGAACAACTCAAGCTCCCACTCCATGACAATCAGCTGCCTGTGAGAACTGTCTAGTTTTGGTCTTACAACAACTGCTCACCAAATCTGCTGCCTTTCACACGGCGGACTCACCTCTCAGATAATGTGACTTTGTTACAGACAAACCCCAGTGCTTCTGCTCTGGAGGAGGTCAAGCTGCCTCTCTCTCCACTTGAGTTGCTAATACATGAAGAGAACATGAAGAGAACAGCTTGGCTTCAGGGCACTAGAAGGTGCAGGCTGGGTGCTATGGTCAGACT